GGACCGTCCGTCATAGTTTCCAACTGCATATAGACGTAAAACGAATCAATCAATCAATCAATCAATCAATCAACTTCTGCCAACGTGCTGTTACCCTTGCCGGTCGGCTTCAGCCGCATGAGAAGCTTAAGCTCGATGTAGGTGAAGAAGGGTGAGGTGTGAAGAACAAATTCCATCTTGTAGGCGACGTCGTCGCGTTCCGATATGGTCTTGGCGATCGTGCCATCGGGGCTGATGAGGTGGATTTCGCACGGTACAGACCACGGCGCGTGAGTTTGGTACTAAGATGATGTGTTAGGTATAAAGCAAGCTAAGGGGCGGAGAGGATGGTTCGGGTGTAGCAGGATGAATCGTGGGGAAAGGTGGAGAAGGTGGTCCGACTGTAGCAGGATGAATGGTGCTAAAGGGTGGAGAGTACTTACAGATTGTCGATTCCGCTCCCACTTATATCATAGCAATGCAACAACCAGGTGAATCTCTGATTCTATTTCTCTTGCATAAACAGTGACCTCAAAAGACCTTCTTCGCAGTGCTCAAAGGTTGAAATACAGACCAAAATCGTCGTCGTTTACGGTAACGTCTTTGCGGACTTCGACCTCTTCGAACCCCTCTGGCTTCGGCGCACCAAGCCCAAGTAGAGTTGCAATCACGTCCTTATGGCCGTACTCTTTCGCCCTGATCATGTGCCCAGGGTAGTAGATATCACAGCCGTACTCCACAAGCAACCGCACCATAGATGTGTGGCCATACTGACAAGCCTGTGATACAGCTGTTCTGCCAGCGCCACCCTTACGGTCTCCGACAACGCCGGGGCGGTTTACATCAAAGCCACGGTCCAAGAGAAGTTTAGCTGCACCGACATGGCCCCTCTCCGCCGCAGCTGCGAGTGTGCTTTTCGCTCCGTTGACATTTGCGCCGGCGTCAAGAAGAACTTCAATAATGCGCGTATACCCCCGGCTGGCAGCCCACACAATAGCGTCCGGATTATAAGACCAGTTGTTGTAATAGTTGGCATCGACGCCTCTTGACAGCAAAAGTCGTACGATAGCGATATGTCCTCGCTGGGAAGCGATGGCGAGGGTATGTCGGTCCCGATTTTCTATGTCTCTTGTGTTTGGGTCCGCGCCTCTGTTCAGCAGAAAACGAGCAGCTTCCTCATTGCCGTAGAAGCAAGCGCCACTTAGAGCCAAGTTTTTAATCCAGTCGGGGTAGTCAAAGTGGTCTAACAAGAACCTAAGCAATTCCATGTGGTTCCCAGAAGCCGCTTCACGAAGATGACGTTGAGAGTTTGGAACAGTCGTTGGATCCAAATTAATAAGTAGGCGAACAACTTCCGTATGGCCTCCCTCACATGCCGCTTGAATAGGCGGGACTACCCCGCCAGTAGGATTGAAGCAGGCGCCTTTGCCTATAAGTAGTCGGACAATGCGTGCATGACCTTGTCTGGCTGCAGCCCAGATTGGAGAATCGAAGTACAGGCTGGAGTCATCGATATCGTCTACTTCGCTGACAAGTGCTTCAACGAGTCGAGCATCACCTAACCAGGCTGCTGCTGCTAGAGAACTCCTGGTTATGTCGGCATCGTTCGTTTGGTATGGTTTTTCTTCCATAAGTTCTTCAATGAGGTACATTGAAAAACATCCCCCAACGGCGAAGAACAAACACAAGGAAGACACGTAGGCGCGCCGTGAGTTGTTGTTCTTTTCATCTTCTCCGCGCATGCGCATAATCCTGTCAACAGTCTCATGTAGTGTGCCCAGAAATTCGTTCCGGTTACGATATCTTGACTCATCTAGGGACCGCCTATGCAGTAGTCCCAGCAGCCATTTTTGCGAGATCGGCCGCCTGAAACGCATTCCGTCATTTATTGCTTGTTCCATGGCTGCGGTGGTGAGAATGGCATCAGAAATCCTACTATTAAAAGCCTCTGGTTTGCCTTGTCAGAAGAGTTTGGCGTACAGAACAGAATGCAAACCTACTGCAAACAAGGCGAGCCCTTAATGTTCGCCTCAGTCCCAACGTTCGTGTTGTCTCCTCCATGATCAGTACAAAGAGCTCTACGGGAAGCTCAAAAAGGTGCATTGTAGGTGATTGTTTCGCAGTTTTGTTGTGGCGCATTTATTCAAATGAAGTAGTTTGCAGGTTTGGTGCTGAAGCGCTTTGAAACGTTCGCTTATTCCCGGCTATGTAAGCCGCCGCCAGGGCCAGGGCCGCTCCGCCCCCAGCCTTTGTAAGTTCAACAAGCTAGGAAACTCCCATGTGGTCAGACTTAGGAATATTTGACGAAAAGACATAGTACCTTATCGGAGGTTGATTGGGAACATTTTGGCAGAGTAAAAAAGATAAAGGTCGTACGGTACGCAGTACTAAACTGTCTACGAGTGTACGATTTCGAAAATTTGGAAATTAGGCACTAACTTCCTAGGCAAAAAGGCACTTTTCTGAGGGTTAAGAACCTAAAGAAATTCAGTTTTAAATATACCTTAGAGAACGTTAGTAGACTAATGCTTTATATTCTTGTCTGATTTCTCTTAAGTTGACTAATAACTATGGTTTCGGCTAGGCAGCAACTAGCCAACCCAGCAACAACTAGGCAACACGGTATGTACATGATACAAACCTAAGCGATTGCTACGGGTATAAATATCTAACCACTTACTCTCTTCTAACTAAAACTAAACTCTACCTTCCGATATAAAGAGCTACTTTATAACCCTATTATTTATCCCTCGACTGGAAATGTCCAATCCCTGTTATATCCCACCAAGTCTTTACACTACTTTGGACAATCTCAATATCTCACGTATTACGGTCGCTGGACACGAAGAATTTCCCGTGGCACCTGAAAGCGATATTAACGTCAACCACTGGGCTATTTACCTCGAAGTCACTGAAGGAGGGCATGTTTGCCTTGACATGATACCGACCTCTTCTACTGGCGGACTTGCAAATTTGGCCGTTAGTCGACTTCCAACCAGACCAAGTAATGTCGTTAAGACGGTCGAGTTTCCTACCGATATTGGGCTTTCGGTTAAAAGGGTAATTGAACGCATCGAAGGAGAGCGCTATCACATTTATCGATACGGAAACGAAATGTTAGAGTGCAGATATTGGGTCTACGTGGTATGGATCAATTATTTAAGGCCGGGTGGATCACTGGTACCTCGACCGTCTGTGATCTTGTATCACGATCATGGACAGCCGGCGGCACACGACTACAGAAGTCTCCGCCGATGACAAAAGGAAGTTTTGGCTCGTATACGAAGCATAGCAATACATTTAATCATAATTAAACTACTAATGGTAAGCCGGCTCTCTTATCTCTTTTGTAAATCCACTACAATTATTTGGCTAGTGCCAATGATCAACCTGTTCACGTATAAAGGCTATGGACCCTGATGGTTTGCCTGTCCCCGAGCAGTTTTAGATTGCTACATGTCGGCGGCGTCACAGACAAGCGCTTTGCCCACCTCTGCAAACCAACAGCCTGATCGTGTCAGTGCGCGAACGGAGACTAGACGGGTCGCACCGTGGCACCTACAGTTTACCACCAACGTCATCAAGATGACTGCCACACCATATCTCGAGACCTTCCCAAGCACCGACCCGGAGTGCTACCAGTAACGGTAGGCTCGAGGCTCCCCTGCGCTAGCCAGCTGCCGGCGTGCCGGCGTACCGCGCGGCAGAGACAAAAAAACTCGGTGCTGAGGCGTCGGGATAGTCGGAACGCTAGGGCGATAGGCGCGAGCGGAGGATTTAGTCACCCAACACGAGTGTGTTTCAGCATCAAGGCATGGGAAATCGTTTCGGCTTGCGCCATATATAAGTTGTAAGATTTGACCATGTTGATCGCTAGAGGTAGCGTGGGCGCCGCTGTTCGGCCTCACGATGCCCGCCCCACAATTCGACGACGCGCGGTCCGCAAAGTTGGATGCGACATCTGTAACGCCCAGGCGGCGCTAGATCTCGTCGAGCTGCAAAAGTAACGATCGTCAGGAAACCTCACCTTAGCAAATCAAGTGCTGCCGCTTACTGCTCGGGTCCCTTCCACCATGCCGTCGATCAGGCCTTCTTCTGACGCCATCGGAGAGCATGCCGATCCACGACGATACGAGACCATGGCAGAGAGCTGGACTTCTTAAACCCCCATGTGCGCATCCTTTCAAAGGGCACAGTTCCTTCTTTTGCTGTCGCTCTCTCGACCATCTCATTACCGTCATTCATTCTTTCCTTATCTACAATGCCTCGTTTCTATTCACTCCTTTCTTTTGCGGCTCTGCTTGCATTCTCGCAGTCCAGGCCCATCAACGACGCGCTCCTTGACGAATACGACTACATCATTGTAGGCGGCGGTGCAAGCGGCCTCACTGTTGCCGACAGACTCACAGAAGACGCCGACGTGACCGTCTTGGTCCTCGAGGCTGGTCCCGCGGACCAGAACGAAGAATGGATTCGCGTACCCTTTTTCATGGGCAACAGCCCTAACCCCCCGGCCGGATCTCTTTCCTCACATGTCCAGTACGACTGGAACCTTGGCACGGAGCCTCAGACATATCTCGATGGCGCGACTAGGCACTATCCTCTTGGCCGTGGCGTAGGTGGCGGCACCCTGATCAACGGTATGCTGTGGAACCGTGGTAATGTCGGCGATTATGATGATTGGGAAACTCTTGGAAATGAAGGTTGGGGCTGGGAAGGCATGCTCCCGTATTTCAAAAGGGTATGAATCAGTCTTGTGTTCAAAGAGGAAGAAGCTAACATTCACCGATCAGAGCGAGTCTTTCACTGCCGACTACTCCGCTGAGGATGCCAACCTCTACCAGATCCAAAGCAACCCTGACATGCACGGTACGCAAGCTGGAGGCGTCAGTGTCAGTTATCAACAGTACTACTACAACGGCACTGCAAGCTTCTATGATGGGTTGAACGAGCTTGGAATTCCTACTGAGGGTGACCCAAGCGCCGGTACTACTGCTGGCGCGTCTTTCCTGCCAATGACCATTGACGCTACGACGAAGACCCGCTCTGATGCCAGGACCGCTCACCACCAACCTCACATTGGCCGCGACAACCTTTATCTTTCGACGGGCCAGTTTGTCACTCGTCTCCTCTTCGACGATTCGCAAACTGGAGACGATGAATCCAACGGGCAGAGCTCCACATCGTCCCGGACTTCGACAAAGAGAAACAACACGGCTTCAGGCTCGCATGGATTCACAGGTTCGACTACTCCCCGGTTTTCCAACACGACTTCTCCAACATGGAGCAACACCAGCGCCACTGATACTCCGGTTGCCAGCGGATCTCACACCAAGAATGGGCAAGGCAGGCACTACGGTTTCAAGACCAACTACGTACCAAACGGCGTAGCGGATATTCTGGGGATTTTCAACCTCTGGCCTAGTGGCGATTTGTTCAGCATCTTGAAGGGTGTTGCTCCCGAGGATGCCGACGGACAGTCCGATGTGGACGTGGTCAAGGTCGTGAAGGCGGTGCCTAACCCGGATTGTGGATGCTGCTCAGATGAGAGCTCGAAGAGCAAGCCGAAATCCAAGAAGAACAAGAGGCAAGCTTTGCCCAATGTTCGCGTTCGCGGCGTCGAATATGCTACGGATTCTTCTGCGCCGAGGCGCACAATTACTGCTAGGCGGGACGTCATTCTCGCAGCTGGCGCTGTGCACACCCCTAAGCTGCTTCAGCACTCTGGCATCGGCGATTCTGACCTGCTCTCCTCTTTCAACATCACCACGACCATCAACCTGCCTGGTGTTGGCAACAACTATCAGGACCACTTCATGATCGCAACGAACAACGCCTATCAGAGCACCACCTACGACCGCCCTTTGGGTTATGGCAACACTACTCGCGACGAAGCCAACCGTGCTGAATTCAACAACGAACACTCTGGCCCCTGGACTGCCGGTCCCCCCAACGGAGTGGCCTTCCCATCATTGAGCAACATGGCTGGTGCCAATTTCACCGCCATCTTGAACGCAGCACAGAACCAGGGCTCCGGTCAATACCTTCAGGCCGACCTCGATGAGACTGTCGTTGCTGGATATGAACGCCAGAAGCAGCTCCTGGTTGACGCACTTGGCAACGCCAACCGCTCTCAGTTTGAGGTTCTGAACGACAACACCGGCCATTTCACTTACAGTGTCATGAAGTAAGTTTTCTCGGCCTTCTCTAAAATTCCTGCCTAAACTAACTTTTCAAGGCCTCTCGGTCGTGGACAAATCCGCATTCGCAGCGACGATCCTTTCGACACTCCCATCATTGACCCTCGTTACGGCTCCAACCCTGTTGATCTCTCCTACCTTGTGGAGGCCATGCGCTTCAACTACCGTCTGATGGGCACGGACGCCCTTCGTGATCTTCAACCCTCTGAGAAATACCCGACGGAGGAGACGATGCACAACGACGACGCGTTGATGCAACTCGTCAAGGAGGCCATTTTCACCGAGTACCACCCTACCGGTACTACTAGCATGCTGCCTCTGGAGCTCGGTGGTGTCGTTGACAGCAACTTGAAGGTTTACGGCACACAGAACCTTAAGATTGTAGACTCGGGCGTTATGCCACTAATTCCTGCCGCTCATTTGCAGGCCTGTGTGTACGGAGTTGCTGAGAAGGCGGCTGATTTGATCAAGGCCGCCAACCGGTCCTAGGACTTTAGATTTTGTACGGTTGTATATGGGTTTGGGTAGTGTATAATTCTGACGTCTCTCTTTATATCTCCTAAAAGTACACAAAGTTTAGAGTTAAATACCACGTTGCTGTTCCGTTAGATCTGTAGAAACTAGATCTGTAAAATTTCTAGACATCTTAAAAATTCCCATTGCCATGCTTAAACGCACCGATTATATACTAATATGTCCACCATTTGGTTATGAATTTAACGCCATGATTGTAGTTCTACCAGCAACATTTTAGAGCTCTTGTAGCTTATTTAATTAAACATGACAAATGTCGGGCAGAGACTGAATTTCGACCAGACTGAATTAATCTGACTTGTTTAACTACATCAGAGCTACAGTGTCCTACGCACAAATTAGTAAGGGTTTATGTGACCTAGCCTCGAAAGCTTCAAAACGTCTGGGTGGGCTTTTTTGTTTCCATCTTCTCAACGTCGCAATGGTGCACAACGGCGCGTGATCCGTCTCGGCAACTAAACACGCCGCAACTAAACACGCCACCTTTCTGCAACCCGGACTTCGAACCGCTGAGCCGTTCGGCCCGCCTGCTCCTAGATTGTGGCTTCTATGTACGAGTACGACCCCACATTCCAATTCGTCGGACAAGAAAAACAAGATTGATCCTTGTTTCCAAGCCGTTGTCCCAGCCCAGTGGTAAAATTATTTAGCCTAGGCGGCTCTTATAATTCTAAATTTTTATCTTGTAGCCGCAGCGCCTGCCGTAAGGTGTTAGAGTTTAGGCTATACTAAATAGCCTCCAGGGTCCGCAGATGCTAGCGATGCAGCTTGCATAATTGCATGTGCTTCTACAGTTTCAGAACCGTATAGCCGCACACCCCTCTCGGCTCACTACCCGGAGGGTCTAATGTTTGACCAGGCGTCGGCCGGATCAAACGTGATCTTTCTTCTCCTAAGGTCCCCGCTTCCTTAATCAGAGCAGCTATAGATTACTTACATGTTTAACCGGCTTGGGCATCTAGAACAGGATAAAGACTTTCCGGAATTGGCCAACTATGCATATGAGAGGGCACCACAATATGGATAGTCGGTCCCTCTCATGTACCATGCGTGACATGTGTAGCGGCAAAATGGCGGTGCAGGTAAATATATCATGGTCTTTCCAGGAGCTGATATAAAGACGAAAAGGAACACCAAAATTTTGTCTGCAGTAACTCGCTTCCTTCAAACCTATCGTCCTTGGAGTTCTCCGCTCATCATATCGCCATGCGTGTCCAAGCAATACTTGCTCTGGCCTCCGCCAGCTTGCCATCAGTCTTTGCCCAAGCTGCTGCGTGGGCTCAATGTGGTGGAACTGGGTTTTCCGGATCAACAACCTGTGTTTCTGGTTATACCTGTGTTGTCGTCAACAGCTATTACTCTCAGGTACTATGTTACAATATCACACAACTTACTTCCTAGTCATCGGAAAATCTAACAAGTTTCACTTCTGAAAATAGTGTCAGCAAGGATCTGCGACCACCACACTTATAACAAGTGCTGTAACCACAAGCCCTGGCTCTGGCTCTACTTCCACAAGCATCGACGCCAAATTCAAAGCACACGGCAAAAAATACTTTGGTCTCGCTTCAGATCAAGGTCATCTATCAGACAGCACCTATGCAGGCGTCGTCAACGCCAACTTCGGTCAATTGACGCCGGAAAACAGCATGAAATGGGGAAGCGTAGAGGCAACCAGGAACAGCTTCAGCTGGACACAAGCCGACTATCTCGTGCAATTTGCGCAAACAAACAACCTACTTGTGCGTGGACATACCCTGCTGTGGTACCAGCAATTACCATCCTGGGTCAGCAATGGCAACTGGGACAAGGCGAGCCTGACGACGCTCATCCAAGACCATATCAAGACTGAGATGGGGCGGTACAAGGGTAAGATCTATGCCTGGGATGTTGTCAACGAAATCTTCAATGAAGACGGCTCTCTGCGTAATTGGGTCGTCTACAATGTCCTCGGTGAGGATTTCGTGCGGATTGCTTTTGAGGCTGCGCGCGCTGCAGATCCGAATGCTAAGCTGTACATCAACGATTACAAGTGAGTATCGTCTTCCTCCCTTTCATGTTCGGCGATGAAATAGAAGCTTTTTTGAATGACAATTGGCTGATTACCTGAAGCCTCGACGATGCAAACTACGCCAAAACAAAGGGCCTCATCGCGAAGGTCAACCAGTGGCGTGCGGCCGGCATCCCTATCGACGGCATTGGTTCGCAGGCCCACCTCAATGCTGGTGGTTCCTCGGGAACCAAAGCAGCACTGCAAGCTCTCTGTGCAGCCGCACCGGAGTGCGCAATTACGGAACTCGATATTGCACAAGCTCCTGCCGCTGACTATGTCGCGGTTACCCAGGCATGCTTGGCTGTTGATAATTGCGTTGGTATTACTGTATGGGGTCTGCGAGACAACGATTCTTGGAGGACTGGCCTGAACCCACTTCTTTTCGACTCCAACTACCAACCCAAGCCTGCGTACACTGCTATTTTGAATGCATTGTAAACGGATTTTGTAAGAACAATTAGTCAGTAGCTGTAGCGGTCAGCCAGGATTGAGTTATCCTTGTGTTTGTCAAATTATTTGTATAGTTCTTTCCTTTTCTCAACAGTGCAATTGGTTGGCGACGAAACATCAAGAATTCTGAGTTCGACTATGAAGTCCCAAGATTTACTTGTTCCCAAGTCATACTATTCAATTATAACCCCCAGTATTGGCTCAGACGTTCATGAGTTTTAAGATGCGGCCAGGTCAGGTGGGCTTCTGATTGTTTTAGAATATGAAGCAACTGCTGCTGCTCATCCTTTTCGGAGAAACGATCACCGCCTGAACGATGTAAGCTAAACCTGACATGAACAAGGTACCGCGACAACGTACACATAGCTATTACCATTCCAGTTACAGAAGCAGCAGGTTGTACTTGCGGGTGTGATATGGCGACACCACACATCCTCCGAACATAGTGCCTAACTCGATTATCCACCCTCTTCATAGCAATAGACCGATCCAAGCCTAAGGATGGCATACGCGGATCATGCACGAGAAGTAATATACGACAAACATCAGAATACAACTGGGCACCAACTGACATTTCAAAGACTCCGTATCAGCAAAACAAATCTGATCACAAAGAACATTTTATCCTTACTGTGGCAATCATTAGCAAACCAAATTTTCGGGAAGTATCCGCAACCTTTCCGTTCGTAGTGTATTGGTCTGAATGACTGCGGTTTGCATCTTGTCCATTCTTCCAGATAGTCATTCAGCCGCTGCCAAGACCCTGTATCCCTTCCGGAGTGGCCGTAGCAGAAGGACAAGACGTCAGCTGTAAATGCTATCATACGTACAGCCCATGTGTAATCATCTGTGGGGGAAGTTGTTCGATCAATGTTTAGATAGTCGGCGAGAGGCGGTATAGGTGTTCGAGTAAGAAATGATATGAAAATCTCCTGCCGAAGCGCAACCTGAAGGGATGCTGCGCGTAAACTGGAATCTGTTGTATTTTCTTTTGCACGGAGAAGAATGTGTGTCCCGAGTATATGCCCGCAGCTTTGGCGATCTTCAACAGGGTCTTTAGAGGTCATAGTCAGTGAGAAAATGTCAAGACCAAATTAATCCCATATATGTTTCTTACCAGCCATTTCATCAAAGAGACGAAGAATTGCAGTAGCAGCAAACAGCGTAGATTCCAAGAGTGAATGCTGATTATTCAGAGCTGGAATGAGAATCTGAAGACATTTTCGCTGATATTTGTCAGATGCAAGCGGGTCAAAGCTGCCTGACTTGCTGAGATGTCTGGCTGAAACTGATAATATTGCGTTCAACAGCGTTTCACATGTTGAAGAGGCCTGCACTACCATCGTACCGAAATGCCGGTCTTTGTCGCAAAAGTCGAACTGAAGCAGCTTTTAGTTCCACCGTTTTTGGGTATAAAATTTTGTTTTCTATACTTACCCATGGTGCCAAGTCTGTGACAAAATATCGAAAGAGTAAAGCTTCTTCGCTGGTCTTCAAAGGCCAAAGTCCGGACGAGTCGACTGTTAGGTCGAGATGAAGATCATCGCAATCGCTAAGTGAATCTTCAGTACTCGCACTCCGATTCTGGTCATGCAGTGATATTGCTGGCCATTCGAATGCATCTAGGTATACGTCTGGAGAATAACCGAATGCACTGATTTCAGGAACATTATTTAGGACATGACTCCCATGTTCGGACGGCCCTTGCATCGACACTGAAGGTTCTCGGGCTGGGCTGCAGGCTGGCAAGGTTTCATCCAATATACAAGTTGAAATATGAGCGTCACCGGTTAACTGTTCGTTAACGTTATTCGTGGATGGAGGTTGTGGGTCGTTTGAACGATCGTACAGTATCCTAGGTGATTCTGTGCATGATTCGGATTCACTCCTTGGAGGAAACATGCTATCTTGACCCTCTTCATCATCGAAATCATCTGCATCTTGATCCCAAATTGACGTGGCATCAGTCTCCACAAACCTGACTATTGAGTGTTAGGTACTTTGGAATTGTGTGCACCGTTCAGTTCAGCTAAACAATAGTATCCAGACAACATACGTTTTTTAGGAATCGGTACCCAGGATTGGTTGCTATATCGCAATCCCTTCCGCCGCTTGTCCGCGCTTGATAAGTATACGGTCGGATTGTGATCATAGCGGAAAGGGCAAGCAACCCCAACAGCGGAGCAACTCCATCCGCTTTCGGTGCAAGGAGTGCATTTAGGCTTTCTCCCATCACCTGGTTCTCTCAGTTAACAAGCCGCTCGCAGAGTACTTGCTTTCGGTATCACTTACATTTGATGTGTCGGCGGTGACACTCATCACTGTCATTGTTAGCGCGAAATCACCGCTATACTAGGCCACTCACCAGGCTTGCCGATGGCCTAGTCGTTTCACTTGCGGCTTCATCCTCCGCTTTCAAAGCACAATATGATGAAGGCAGTGGTTTGAAAACGCTTCGAAGGGGGTGGAGCAACAGGGTAATTGTCTCCGTCATTAGTAAGCGGCAGCTGTCTCCGTTTGCGCGCGTCATGCCCGCTACCTACCCCGCTTTTGGTCCAGCCCAACGACAATTCCGAGAGCCTACGGAAAACAATACTCAATGCAGTTATCCCGTTGATAGAAGTCCGCAACGCATGACGACAGCCATATTTCCCTACGAACCACTTCACCTGCAATTGGCCAATGTCACGGTTTTGCTTGTTAACTCGGAGCAGAAGCGGTATAGCCATTCGGATAAGGTCAATTCATCGGCTGTTTCATTGGCTAGCCAATGTAGATCCCGCGGCTGCCAGCTTGGAGTAGCTTGAGGCGAAAAGCCACTGTGGGGAAGACATGATTGTGCGAGGGAGCACGCTCAGCTCTATTCACGAACAGGAGAACTAACAAAGTAGATGTTTCCGACTTCCCGTCGCAGACTACATTGCAATGAGATATAAGTATGCTGCTCAAGGTGCTGGAGGCATCTCGCATTGTCTCAAAAGTCACCTTGCAAACGTATACAATATAACCATAAATTCCTGTCCCTCTAAGTAGGTGCTCCAAATTTCGTAAGCATTACTGCAATATCTAACATTTAAGTCGACAGCACCTGAAGTATGGCTAGCACCATGACCGAACATCAAACCTCCACTCCCGACTATTTGAATATCAAGCTCCAAGTCAACGATGGCAACCTCTTACCTTCGGATGTCATTCCCCTTCAACCGTCACATCCAAAGGAGCCGATTGAGGTTCTTCGAGAGCGCTACGACAGAAATGGCTACCTATTTTTGAAAGGCTTGCTTCCACGCGACGACGTCCTTCGATGCCGGGAGGAATACTTCAAGTACCTTTCTCCTACTGGTGTCCTTAAACCCGGCACATTATACACCGATGGTATCTTTGATGCCTCAAAAGATAAAAGTTTGTTTCCGGGTGTCGGAGCAGCAACAAATCCAGGCAAGAAAACAAACAGTACTGCAGCTGCTTTTGTCGACCTGGCAATCAAAGCACATACTGAGCCTTGGTATGCAGAGGACCTCTGCAAGCACCAGGCTTTACTTGATTTTGTCAAGGAGTTGAGCAGTTGGGGCGACAATACACTTGCGCTCCGCAGGACCCTTCTTCGCAACAACACCCCTGGGAATCAGGCAATCGGCGTCCACTACGACCAGATTTTTTTGCGGTACGGAGAGCCAACAGCCATCACTGCCTGGGTCCCTATCGGTGATGTGGATCTTGAGGGTGGTGGGTTGATTTACTTGGAGGATGGTAAGTTTCATGTCATGCCAACTTGGTCTTAATTTTTTTTTAACGTGGTGTAGGGGACAAAGTTGGGCAGTCCATTGAAAGCGAATTCACTGAAAAGGCGAAGGAAACCGGACTGACGGAAGAGGAGACCAAGAATGGGTTCAACCAGAACATGATGACAACTGGTTGGCTGGCTGATGGCCCACTCGGATTTGGCCGTGAATACAAGAAACGGTGGCTTGTCTCAGCTTATGAAGCTGGAGATGTCGTACTTCACAAGCCACACATGGTACATTCATCTTCCAGCTTTCGGATTAAAGATTACTGATGATATATAGATCCATGCTTCCACTTTGAACAATGACCCGTTGGACAGGATCCGTGTTGCAACGGATCTTCGTTATGTAAGCTCTGCTCGACCACATGACAAAGTAACTTCTCTGTCTTCCTGTAGTTCTGCTTCATTTGCTGATTAGGCTTTAGAGATGGATGAACTTTTACAGCCCTAGCGATGGACTTTGAGTTCAGCTACGGCTTTCAATAGTCGCAGGAAACGCATTACGATGAGGTTTTCACGATAGTTACCGTCAAATATATGCAAGAAAATCGACCTTCCCACATTTTTGAGTGGCTCTCATGTTTACCGCTGTATGATTTTGTCAACGCCTCAATGGCAATTCTAGCCTCATGGAAAATAGATCTAGGAACGAATTTCCGCTGTGGCAAGAACGTCTAAGAATTTCTAAGTTTAGGTTGTCCCTCTTTATAGAGGTAAGAGAAAACACCTTTTCGGTTGTATTATGTCCTATAAAAATATCTATGGGTGAATTGCTGAACGATGGTTTGCAATTTAATGTTGTTGTTAGTCAGTCTGGCACCTCGGTAGCTACTTACAAAAGTTTCCGTTCCCGGACGCCGTCTCAAACTTAACTGGCGCTATCCTAAAAGTCATGATGTAAGTGCACCCCGCATCTGATCTGTTTAGCTCTCCACGCCAGATAAACTGACGTTTGACATGTTGAAAAGTACAAATATAATAGAGTACTCCGGTAGTCTTGACGCAATCCTAGACTCTCAAGAACCCATTGCTTCTATCCTGACAATGAAGCATTCTATCCTTCTATTGTTTCTCGCGATTTCCGTCGCTGCGAAAGACATCGAGTATGACTACATAATTGCAGGCGCTGGCACAGCGGGTTTGTTGCTAGCTGTCGTACTAACAGAGAATCCAAACATCACAGTTGCGGTCTTGGAGGCCGGTACAGATAGCCGGACAAATCCTAACGTTACTATACCAGAGCTCCGAGGTGGAAGCCCTAATGCATACAACTGTCTCACGTACTGATTTGAAGTGTAGGCGCGATCATTGGTACGGAGTTTGATTGGGATTTTAGCTCTGTTGACCAACCTGGGCTCTTTGAGAACAGGTCACAAGCTGTCAATAGGGGCAAGACGATCGGTGGAACAAGGTCTGAAGCAATATTTATCTGGCATGAAGTAGCTAACTTATTTACAGCGCCATGAACTGGATGATCCACAGTATGCCCAATGTCTTTTCTACGGACCGATGATCAAGCTGACGACCCGTAGACGAGGATTCAAGAATTCAACTCGACATCTGGGAAAGCCTCCTCAACCTCACTGGTTGGAATTGGGAAACGCTTTCAACAGCTTTTAGGGAATCGGAAACATTCTTTGCATCACCAAGTTCTAGCGTCTTGACGTATGATGCAGCAAATCACGGAGGCAACGGACCGATATGTTCCACGATGCAGCGGAGTGTCTTCTCATTACTTTCCGATTACCTTGAGCCTACGCTCCGTGCCGCCGGCTATGTCATCCCACAAGACAGGAATGGAGGAAACGTCACTGGTGCAAGTTTCCTACCACTCGCCATCTGTCCGCAGAATTATACTAGGTCATATGCTGGCTCGGCATACACAGCAGTCCAGGCCCGTCCAAATCTCCGAGTGTTAACCAATTCTCAAGTCACCGGCATTAAATGGGAGAGTACCCTTGCTGGGAACATCACAGCGGCTGGATTAAAGTACCAAGATGGCAGAGACTCCAATTCTATTGCGCAAATAAACGCCAGAGAGATAATCCTGAGCGCAGGGTGCATTCAATCTTCCCAAATCCTTGAGCTTAGCGGAGTCGGCGATCCAAATATCCTTTTACCATTGGGCATTCGACCAGTGGTCAACCTATCCACAGTTGGAACTGGGCTGAGAGATCCTCCGATGATGATGTACGAGCCGCTGCAATTCAATTTCTCAGTAAATTTCACCGGACACGAGTGAGTGCTGGCTCCCATTTACTTATATACTATTCTGACATTGGTAGGTACGCTCAGAACTTTATTCAACTAGAACCCGCTCGCAACATTCTGTCTCCAGAAAACTTCGCTGCGGCCTCAACCTGGCTCAACTCAACGGCTTCAATTCCCGGACTCGAAGACGCTCAACTTCAAGTATTCAAGCACTTGTGGTATACCGACCAGCCCTTGATAGAAATTGCCTGGCAGTATTCTGGCAACCAAGCAATGCCGTACGCTTTAATACCCCTATCCCAAGGCACAACACACATCAACAGCAGCGATCCTCTTGCACCCCCACGCATCGACCCAAACTACAATACCGTCCGCGCGACAATAGGCGGCGAGGAAGTCGACTGGGACCTCTGGTTTCTGAGCAAGGCAGCGCAGTACTACGTCACCCAGCTCGCTACCCACGCTCCTTTCAGCGATATCCTCACACTCACGGATCCGATGTACAACCTCTCAGCGGCGGAGTACCAGCAAGCCGTTTTCGAGCGCATGGGCACATCACAGCATCTCACTGGTGGGAACCCAATGCTTCCGCGTGAGGCTGGCGGAGTTGTAGATTCGAAAATGCTGGTGTATGGCACGCGGAACGTTCGGGTTGTGGATGGAAGCATATTTCCATATCAGCCATCAGGTAAGTTCATATTATTGAAAAGCTGTAGGAAAGAACACTGATGGGTCTTCAGCACACCCCATGGGTCTCACGTACGCTGTTGCCGTCCGTGCAGCGAGGATTTTGCAGAGCTTGCAAGGCGGCCAAGGACCAACGTATACCGATCAGCTTCCATTAGGCAATTCGAGTTCAAACGCTACTGCCACGTTCCCTTCGCAAAGGCCTACTGCAACTTATGACTCGATGGGATCTGTTATGCCTCCGGCGCAGTCGATTTCATCTACTGTTGTTTCACAGCCTGCTCCTATTGTTAATGTTTGAGGGAACTTGCACTCACTCAAGGCGGAAGTATAGGTTAGATCTTACCACTGTCGGATGGGTATAGGTATAATACATTTCATCCCTACAGAGAGCGATATTCCATTGAGGCAAAAGGGTATCAAGTCGCTCCGAATTTAGTGGGGATTATACTTCGGCGATACCTAATTCTTCTACAGGTAAAGTAAAACACTACTACAAACTACTTCAAAGGTAGATATAGAGCTTGCCCTCGTAGCTTAATATGTAGCACATGTAAGTATGTAGAATGTAACCTACTGAGCAGGTGTTATATTAGTTTATTTTTTCTCTGCCAATACGGTCTATGGATATCTCCTCGTCGTGCCTTTATTGCCAAGTACGCTCAATAGGTAAACCGTTTGTTTTTCCAAAAATCCCAAACACCATCGATGAAAACTCCGCTCTTGACGCGGCCAAAAACTCCAACCCTTCTTTTATAATCTTCATCTCTAAACTTCGGTGGTACTTTCGTCATTTCGTTGGTCTCGTCTTTCTTGCTTGTTCCTTGCCATAATGTCACGTCTTCCAAGACGCTTCAACCCTAGCCAGGGCGTATTGAGCGGACTAGGCCCAGTGAAGATGAATAGGTCGTACAAGAAGGCACCGAATATGGTTCCTATAAATGGAATGATCATAGGTATCTGTAGACACACGATTAGCCCCGATGATTTACAAGTGTATGCAGTCGCTGGCTTACCCAGAAATAATAGCCGGATGATTTCCAAACTTCGCCTCCGTAACCGTTGGCGTGGGACATGAGACGACCAGCGAAGTCAAGCGCTGGATTGACAGCACCGCTGTTACTGTCAGTAAAGGTCCTGCGTGCCTAGGTTTCTAATGACTTACCCAGTCTCCCAACCGAACGCGATACCGACTCCGTAGAAAAGGAAAAACATTGCCAGAGGAAAGAAGTTACCACCCGCTTTGGAGATACCGTTGTTGTAGTCATCCTTGAGGGCAGAAATGACTGTGGTGATAAGCGCGCTTGGAATCGCAACCGAGAACACCTGCGTAGATCTCGGCGCGAATGTTTGCGGATATGTGGCAAAGATCTGGGCCGTGGATTTTTGCATGGGCGGTAGTGTCCGCATGCCATAGCCAGAATACCAATCAATAGCAGAGATGTAGTTTCCGTAGATGATACCAGATCCAACGAAGGCCCCAAGAAACTGAGATAGGAGAATTGCAGGCGCCGCCCGCCATGGCAAACCTCGGAATATACAGTTCGAAATAGTAATGGCAGGGTTCAAATATGACCCGGAATCACCAGAAATGTAAATACCAAGCATGACTCCGATACCAGTCCTACGAATTCAACGTTAATTTCTCAGATGTTGGGTCAGGATCTCGAACACTTACCCCCATGGAACCGACATGAAGGTGCCATAACCAGCTCCGCCTGGAGAAGCTTCCTGACCAGTGCTCAGTGTTGCTTGTGCGATGCTACCGACGTAGAAGCAAGTCAAGACCATAACACCAAGAAATTCCGCAAAAGGCTCCTGTAGCGTCGTTCGTATGCGGGACCAAAGCAGTTTCTCGGCTCCGGGGAAGTGATTTTTCATTGGTCTTTCAGTGTCAAGGCCGACGAGGGCGCGCGCGCTTCGGCGACGCCCGCGGTTAACATTGTTTCTCGACGGCGAGGGCGAAAACAGCTGGTCCTTTTCCGGCGGCGGACTCCAGTCAGGGGAATCACTGTCCCAGTGAATTTGGCGCGACGGCATCTTTGGTGTTGTCAACGAGTGTTGGCCATGGCTGGATATATAAGGTGGGCTGGAGGGCTGGAAGGAAAGATGCAGATGACATCATGGTCGGAAAACTTGCCAAAGCGGCGATACAATTTGCAGATTCTGTGGGAACGGACAGTTCTCGATGCCCGACCACGCCAATATTTCTCACTAGTGTGGCCGTTTCAACTGGTCGCAGCCAATGAGGGAGCCTCGGCCCGTTAGGTAGATACGATCTGATGGCAAAACTGCGATCGGCTTGCCGAACGCGACAATCCCGAGTGCGAAATCTTCGATGTTGCAACATCGCATTTTTCGATTCGCGCATTTCGCTTTGGCCCGTCGATTCACCGCCCGCCTTGCCCCTGTCATGATGTACGCACATCACTCCACGCCACGGAGCCATGACCGCACCGCCGTGTCTGCCGTATCTCACAACGATCTTACAAGTGGAGACCACGGGAGCATTTTATCCCTCCCCGGCCGTGAAGCTCTGATGAGTGGATACGCCCAGGATGGAATGGTCCATGCCTGGAAGAAGAAAAGCCAAACAAAACCAACACATCGTTTGAACTTCACGTCTTTGCCGGGGCCTCTGAAATAACGGTAAGATTTGCGTACAATGTCTTCTAGCAGAATACCTGCCGCTTGAAGGAGAAAGTAGTTGAAGGCACCTGCCTCAGACTTGGACACAGCTCCCGCGAAGTCGCTCGCAAGATGAACGAGCCCCGACAAGAGAAACACTGATAAAACACGGGTGTAGCGTGCGAGAAAAGAACTCTTTGGCAGGTGTAGCACATTCTCCGTCAAGAACTCTGCATGTGCGGTGAGAAATCGCCGCAAGTTCTGGTGCCATGTAACTCTACCCTCTCGTTCAACTAATGCTCATCTAAGACTTGAAAGGGACAGGTGTGCAGGTATCACTTACCCCCAAAACTGTCTTAATGACCACGCACTAAAGGGCGACCCCATTACCGGTGGCCATTCCGTTGGGCTACTCAATCCAAGTGCAACGAGAAGAACGGGCAATATGTTGAAGATTGTCTGGTTGATGGTATATGCAGTACAGAACCACATGACCGTCGTGATGCATCTGAATACCGTCTCCTTGGCGGTGATATCAGAAATGCGCGAAAAGAAGCTTTGCTTTCGCCACGCAAACATCTCTTCCATGTTCGGAGGTTGCGGAAGGCTTTCAATTGCGGTCAAGAAGAGGAGGGCCATGCACATGACTGAAACCCTCCGGCGAACAAACCTCCATCGCGAAATGACAGGAGAAAGATTTGCGTCGGAAATGCAAGGCGGTTTATCCGGTTGTGAGACTGATCCCGCGCAGCGCGTATTGACATGGACAATTAAAGCCCATTTCAGCCTCGTCCAAGTTGTGTTTTCTCTCTGGCTACGCTTGTTATCCACCGCATCTGTTTCGTAGTTCAGGTTTCCGAGGTTGAGCAAATGGTTGGCATTGAGAACCTGTCCCCAAACCAGCCCTGCTGCCAACGCTGCGTGACTCCGGTTCGGAAGCTTGCTACAAGAGCGTTGGAAGTCGTAGGCGATGAAAGCGAACAAAGCCACAATGACTTTCCTGACGGGAGAGGACGCGTTAGTGCTAGCAAGACAAAAGGCCGAGATGAATGGTATGGCAAAGAAATCGAGTAGAGGGACTAGCCAGTACGGCATCGTATGGAACGACATTGCGCGGAGAGGTTGGAGAGGAGCAAGATAGGAGCGGTGGCTACGCCAAACTTTGGGTCGCCAAGGCGAGGTCACAAGCCCTCAGCTGTGACAACTCAAGCCCATATCCCTGTTGGTTTTCAGCTCCAAGTTGTCCCTGACCCGCTTTTCGCGACGGCGGCATCTGTGCGCCTCCAGCCACCGGCGTGGTATCATGAATGCGCTCGACGCGTAATGGTCGTTTGCCAGACGGAAGATTCGGAGGTTTCCCGCGGAGTTGCTCAGCTTGACAATGACTTGGTAGAAAGATATGCCGGCCAACCGACATTCTAGTCCATGCCGTCCACCCCACGGTCAAGGCAACGCAGCTGTCAGGCTGTTCAATCCAGGCACACCCACCTTGCTTTTTATCGAGACCCAATCAAATTTTGTATCTGTCACCATCACCTGCCACAGCATGTCACCAGTGTACCAGCCTCGTCCTGCACTCTGTCCAATGACTGGAGTTTACGTCTTGCCTTCCGTGAGAGGCTATCATGATGTTTCAGGTTCGTAGGATACCAGCGTTTGACCCGGTCTTTTGGCAGGTATCGTTCGCGGACTTCGCGGGCCTCGTTCGGGCGGAATGTGCCTGCTCAGGTAGCAGACGTTGACGTGACGATAGGTAGGCCAGACTTCTCGGTCGACTGATGATTGTGCGAGATCGGCGCTTTGTGGCTTGGGTGATAAAGAATTGGCGTTGACGCAATTGTGGGTTTCAAGATATGGAAGCTTGGGCCAGGTGCTCGGCGGGGAGAAATCTTGGCCCGTGCGATTGATCGATTCCATGGAAGTTCATCACCTGTAAGGATTTTGTACTCGTACACAGTACTTCATACCATCAGCCGTATCTGTCCTCACTCGAGCAACAGTCTCTCGCCTCTCGCCATACCGTCTCCCGCCAGCATCAGCTGCTTTCAGTCGCCCAGCGGGTATGCATGCAAGATCTGCCCGTAGTACAACTCGCTGTCCTTCGCTGCCAGGAACACGAAACTCGGAGCAATCTCGCTCGGCTGTCCAGGGCGTCCCAATGCCGACTTCTTTCCAAAGCCTTCCATCTGCTCAGCCGGACGAGACGCAGGCTGGAGTGGTGTATGCACCGGACCAGGCGCGACAGCGTTGACTCGGATGCCCTTCGGAACCAGGTTCTTCGCCAGAGCACGCGTGAACGAGACAATGGCACCCTTCGTTGCGGCATAATCCACCATGGAAGACGTTCCACGGAAAGCGACCGTCGACGTCGTGTTGATGATGCTGCCACCGTTAGTATAAGAAGAATGAGCATGGTGAGGTGGAGGCATACGAGGATCCCTTCTTCATATGGGGTAGAGCGAACTTGGTGATGGCAAACATCTGCAAGATGTTGCTACGGAAAGAGCTCTCGACGTTGTCAAGGTCGATCTCAGCAAAGTCTTCGCACATTGTCTGCTTCGAGGCGTTGTTGACCAAGACGTTGATCTGGCCGAACCTGCATTCAAGGTCAGCAGAGGCAGTTAGACATGCGGTAGACATTGACTTTTCAACATGCTTCTGCACTGCCTCCTTGCATGTGTTGTTATCCATCAGGTTTCCAGGAATCAACAAGCACTCCTTGCCCTCTTTCTCGACCGACTTCCTGGTATCTTCCGCATCCTGCTGCTCCTCTGGCAAATAAACAATCGAGACGTCGGCACCCTCACGAGCGAAGAGAATCGCAACCGAGCGACCGATACCTGAGCTGAGAGCCGTCAGCGATTTGATCAGGGACAACGTATGGAAGCGAAGCAGCACTTACTCTCCTCCGGTGATCAAAGCCTTCTTGCCCTTGAGCTTGCCAGCTGGGACATACTCGACGAAGCCTTCTGCACCTTCGAGAGCTGTGGACTCGCTGGTTGGCTTCATCGCCTTCTCAGAGCTACATCAGATGTCAGCCATGCCCCTCCAGGTTTTTGGGACGTGAAGGAAGTCCATCACCCTGGAAGATCCTGGGTCTGAGCTTCCTTGACAGGTTTGAACTGTCCGCCCTCGCCTCCGTGAGCTGACATGATGGCGGCTCTGCTGAATGCAAGTCTGTGGCCGGTGAGTGCAAATGGGGTCGGTGTTTGAAGGTGAAGTTTGCAAGTCAAACGAGACCGGAAGACACTGCGAAAAACTGTGCGGAGCATTGGAGAAAGGTAGGTTGTATATAGGTGCCGCTCCTGCCAGTTCCCATACAAAGTCACAATCTGTGACGTCAAATCGTGGTCATCGTGATCCTTAAAAAAAGGGAAGCTGCGGGGGGACGACGAAGTCGAACTACATGGTCAACAACAGCTTCTTCCGGTCCAATATTCAGTAAGTGCTCTGGTGTCGCAGGATTGTGCTGCAGTAATTTGTAGCTGGCTTTAAGAGCAAGGTTAGAGTTACCGGCTTAATCAAACCGTCGGGCTCATATGGAACGGAAAGTCTTGCTTCCAGACCGATCACCTAATTTCCCAAATTCTGTTGATAACTTGATGGAATGAACCTTCAAGAGCGCGCGTAGAAACGAAGATCCAATATACAACGGAATGCCCTCAAAATTTCTACTACGTATGCCATAAATATGCCGTCTCCCTGTTTCTCATCGGGACACAGCAGTTATCCACTACCCGTTTCAGCCCATCCCTACCATGTTGCTCAACATTGCTGCTGTCGCTACCGCCTTGTTGGCCGTTCCTGGTGTTTTCGCAACACCTCAACTCTTCGATCTGCCCGTGGCCTTTTTGGCAAACAAGCAAGTCACATACGAGACGTCAACAGTGTCCCATTGCTTTACGGCCTTGGGACCTTCTAGCGTCTGGGAAGTGCGGACGTCATACCGGACAAAGACCATACATCCTGTAAGTGAGGTTTTCAGTTTTTCTGTAAGGACAAGATAGAAGTACAAGACTAATAGTTGGCTGTAGCCGGTATTGCGAGCTACCATAACCACCACACCTACGAGTACCGTGACACCTTCCCCAGTCACCAGCACAATCGTTTCACAAACTCTGACCACGGTTACTGTGACTAACCCCGCGGTCATCGACACATTCTCAACGACCTCCACCATCACCGTCATTGAGACAGTAACTATAACGCCAACTACGACCACCACAGAAACTGAAACTGTCAGTGCCGATACTACTACCACGACAGTAATTCCAACGAGTTCCGGTTTTTTCCCGGTTCAAGACACCAGAGACGGCTATCCTACTCCTATAATGAATCCTATGAAGCGAAACCTGGAGCTTGAATCTCATGCTCTAGAGCATGGCGACGACTGTGATTGTCAGGGGCCAGGCTGGGGAAAGTATCCAAAAGAGGTGAAATGTGTGGAGAAGATCGAAATCTTCACAAAAGTTATTTTTACAACAACAGCAAGTACCGTGACGACGACGCTCTCGGCCTCCACCACGACCGTCGTGTCTGTGTCGACCGCTACCTCCACGTCGACTGTGGTTCCATTCCCCGTGAAGACAACCCTCTCATTTAGCACGACTATCACCACGGCTTCAACTACGGTCGCCCCTACTTTCACATCGACCACGACTACTACGACCACCATATTTACTTCCACCGCCTCCGTGACGGAATACGCCGCCTGCAATGATGAGAGAAATTACGTCACACAGGGCTCAAACGGCTTAAACATTGACAGCGGTTTTGGATTGATTAACGTTCAACAAGCGTCACGTTTTCCGATTGGCGATGCTTACAGTTGCTGTGTTCTTTGCCAAAATAACACCATTCGCAACTGCGCGGTTTCCTACATATATATGGGTACCAGTGATCCATTCTGCATCCTCGCCACTTCCTCTGATACTTGTACGCCTGAAACTCGGGCTTTATCCTATCAAGAAACGGGACAGAACCCTCCACTTTTTAATATTTCTAACGGCAATTGCGGTTTCGCACTCGATGCCGGTTTTCTTGGTTAGTTCAATGAGTCCTCGCATAATAAAATTGTTCCTAACTGACTTTGGACTAGACCCGGCAACAACAGCCTAAGTCAAATGAGACGAATTCTGAGAGCTACTGCAACGTCACGAACTACCATCTTCGGGGTGCGGGGTAAAACAAGATGGAGACTAAACGGGCGAGATGTGATTTGGGAGCCAGAATCGTCACACGCAGCCTGCTATCATTGCTGCCGCAGCTTCTAGTCACGTCCCTGCCCTGGACATGTGTTGTCATTACTTTTGTTTAAGAGGTGAAATGCCTGGTTGTACGAGGAAGGTTTTCTTTGATACGGTTAGATCACGGAAGTGGTCGGTTCCTTGACGTTCTGGACTAATATCAGATCTTCCGCTCGCCATAACAGTGTGTACGTACATATGGGTTAATAACTTACCATTTATTTTCTACTTAAACAATGGTTCACCTCCCGCAGGCCAAATCTCCTTAACGCCCATGCAGAACGCCCGCTACAGAATGTTATTCGAACGGGGATGTCTACCCATAAATACCTCCAGACCCAAAGCTCCGGAGCTATACTTTCAAGTCCACCATCACGGAAAGTCACAGAACGTCCGTGACTTTCTTCCAGCTCGACACATCTATGCAAACCACAGTATAGCAAGCAATCAATCTAATTTGTGCACTGAAAGCGCCATTAGCATCAGCCAATCTTCCAACACGTCGGAAAACTTACTTTATACCCCTAAAGGCAAGTTTACCCATCAATGGTGACAATAAACATCTAAAATCGCCACAAAACCCCCTCTCCGTCATTTCGCCGCATCCAGTACAAACACTCAGCACTCCTAAAATGCCACTGTACAGCATTCTTCTCCTTCATATCCTACTCACCCAACTCATATGGCTTAGTCGGCACTTGCGGGAGCCGTCTCCCTGGTGGATCGCTTGGAACCCTGCAATATCATTAGCACATCATCAACACCACTCAAAGAGGACAACAATACTTACATCTCCTTCGACACAGTCCCATACGCGCTCAACTCACTTACTGTCGCCGTCCCCGTCGGTGCATTCTGCGCCTCCACACCACCACCCTCCCCAACCGACCCTCTCACCGTAAGCGGCGGGCTCCTCAGCGGCGCAATACGGTACGAAGCGTCGTCCACCGGCCGCTGCGTCCAAGCATTTTGTGCGCCTGGTGATATTGTCTGCGCCATATTTGGCGGCGCCGAGCCCCCCGTCAAGCCAGGGGCGTACTGCGTCCGAGATTGCGTCGACCATTTGGGCTGTCTGCGCCTGTGGAGATAGACGAGAAGCGCACCAAGGAGCAGCAGACCGGCGATGGAGCCGATGACGATGCCTGCGATTGTGCCGCCTGAGAGACCGCCGCTACCGCTGCTGTTGTTTGACTTAGCTGAGGTGGAAGAGGAGCCGTAAGGCGTGACTGTCTCGCCGACTGGGACGGCTTGCCCAGGGATGAGCGCGATGGTGGCAGCTTTGGCTGCTTCTTGTTGGCGGAAGATTTGGGAGTCGTTTGTCTGCGGGAATGACGAGGAGTAGTCAGTGATCTGGGAAAAGAGAGTGTGTGAGGGGGAGTGCGTTCACATACGGGGTTCAGAACGCCGACAAAGGACGAATTTTTGCAGAAGCCTGGCGCAGCATTGTAGAAGAAGACAGGCGAGATGGCATTGACGCGGAGGTAGTAAGCCGGCGGCTGTAGTCGGTGAGTAAGCATCGAAGCAGAGCCATGTCACAGCGAAATGGGGGTGCGGCGACTCACTATACTATACCCCGAGTTCCGTCCCACCTCAGGCGTGTACTGCCAGCCCGAAAAGAAGCCCGACTTCCCCTCTTCGGTAAGCTCGTACGGCACGCAAGGGTAGAGGTACTCTGCGCGCGCCACAGACCAGTTGCCGGGGTAGAACTCGAACTTGACGATATCCCCAACAGCGGCTTTCAGGCTCTGCGGGTCGAACACGTCTGTATAGCGCGCGACTGTGATGGTGTGGATTGTCAGGTTGGCGTTGCCGTTTGGTGCCGAAGGCGCAGTTGCTGCAGACACATCATTTCCGGCCGATGTAGGGGTGTTGGCGATAGTGGTAGGGGAGACGGCATCGTCTGCTTTGGCGTAGGCGTGGAGGTAGGCGAGCAGGATTGCGCAGCCGGCGAGAAGTATCTGTACCATCCTTGGGGTTTTGGTCTGGTGTAGAAGCGAAGTGTAAATTTTCGCAAAGGTGCATGAAGAATATACATCTGTGGCGACTGGACAAAGAAGAGAGTATGCTTGGCTTACGGAAATGGCTGGTTTGAGGTGGACATCATGTGGAGGTGGAGGCACGTGGCAACAAAGAATCAAAAGAGTGAGAGGGACAATGACAAATAGCGAAGAGCTTGGCTTTTAATAAGGCGTTGAGCGGAGGGTATGGAAGATGCCACGCTTATATGGCCCCGAAGATTTTCAACCATGATCAAAAACACCTACAGAATAATCCTCAGGAAGTTGTAATAAGCTTACAATAAAGTATCCAAGTTGACAGGAAGGTACAAGTATACGAAAGGACAAGAGTATTCCATGAGGTTATGATTGCAAAAAACACCAAGGGTATAAGAGTATTCAAACGTTGTAAAAACATAGCCTAGGATAGAGAGTAAGTCATATGTTCGTGCAGGTATGTTGCCACATATAGTGAGCAAACCCATGGCTCGCTCATAACCCAGAAACGCCGACGGAATGTGGAAACAAGACTTAAAGAGTTTTGGAATCCAAGATACGATATTCAGAACAATAGTTCAGAAGTGGCACTAACCGGAGCCCCGTACTGGTGCTAAGGATAAACAAAAAAGCCCACCCAGCACCTATGATCATCAGTGGCACGACCAGGCGGGTATAGTCTCCCTCAATGCAATCCTTTTTCTTTCGCGACCAAGCCTGTCGTCGTCCTCTTAGTCATCGTCGTCGTACCCCCAGTCCCACTCGCTCACTGCATCCTCGTTATCCTCGTCGTCCTCATTGTCATCATCATCAGCGTCGTCCCCATCGTTCCCGTCGTCCGCGTCGCCATCGTCGGCCTGGGGACTGTCTACACCCGCTTCCTGAGGCCGATATCTCTGGTAAGCCCATAATCCCCGCCACCCACCCCCCATTCCGAACCAGGCAATCATATTTTCATCAAAATCGACAATGCTACTGATGTGGGATTCGAGGGGTTCTTCTGGAACTGCACCGATTTCGAGGACGCGGGTAAAACCGCCGGTAAAAGCTACCCACCCAACGAGGTCTTGAGTATATATTCTAGGATCCCCGGCGCCTGTCGAGGGTGGTGGTAGTTGCTCTGAACTCCTGAGCTGTCGTGAGAACAGATACGTTTCTCGAGCGTCTGGCAGATAGCTCCTGCGTTTATTTCTAACTGCTTCACTTTGAAGCGCGGTATAGTCGCTCCGTAAAAATCCGAACGAATAGTGTTCAGTTCGCCTTTCAGGAGATCGCAAAGGTCCAAACGAATACACGAACCTGCCTCTACCCGCATGCCATTCCAGGGTGAAACAAGTTGCTAAGGTTTTAACTGTCGTCAATACCTGACTGGAGTTTGCTTGATTGTAGTTAAGGTCCATCGGAGACGGTGGATTGTTGCAACCAGAACCGAGGTCTAGCATGAAGCGGGATCCTTCAATCGTCACGATGTTGACAAAATGACAATGCTGTTGTATGTTAATAGCCCGTTCTAGTCAATTGTTGAGGTCTGACACGTACATCCGTTGGAATTGTAGTACTGACAGCTGTAGGGTATACATCGTACCCGAGGGCCAGCAGAGCCGCTGCCATAACGATGTTGTGCTCAAGGTTATCAAGAGCATGTCCTCCCCAGTTTACTTCGTCCTCGTTCCGATAGGGAAAGACTTGCGGTCTGCCGTATCCGCTGTTGTAGATCCTTTCTAGGGCTCGATGTGGACAGTGATTACCGGAGGCCAAGCCTTGCCACGGGATATTGCTAGCGTGGTAGTAGAACACAGTATAAATAAATTCGATCTTCGCTCGAGCGTCTCGGGCATCTATGTCTCTACGAGTGGAATGTCGTAACTCCTCAGGTAACCTAATCTGTTCAAAGTATCTCGAGAGTTCTCCGACAGTGAAGCTAGGCATTGGCTCGTTCCATTCCATTGTGACGAAACTTATTTTCGTTAGCAATCTCTGAAGTGACGGAGAAAGTAGATATGCAGCGTAAGTGCTGTAGTAGCGATGGGCTAGCTCTGCGGTGGCAGTTCCGCGTAGCAAACGATGTGAATTCAAGTGAAGAAAAAGTCGCGAGGTCGAGAAGAAACATTGCGCCCGGTGATGAGTCCAGGGACGGCAACACCGAGGCTGCCATGTTCACTTCGCTCTTTCCGAGTGATGGTTGTCGGTCCTTCCCCAGTCCGCGCGGCGCCGACCCGGCGCGCCGACCAATCGCCTGCCTCAAGCAAGAGCGCATCCTCACGTCAATGGCACAGTGCGGGACTTAGGAAACAGATTTCGGCACAAAGTGCAAGGTTGATGAGATGGATGAGACGTGAAGATGGTGCCCTGCCCGCGCTAACTCAACAAAGCAAGTCTTGACGCCCGCCAACAACGAACGCATGAAATTTATCTGAAATATTCAAATTCCACAAGTTGTGGTCGTGCATTGAAAAGAAAAGTCATTGGCAACCGATCTGAGCTCGTCGTTGTTGTCTCAGCCTCCTTTCTTACCCCGTCATTTTAGTTACTTTCCTACATTAGTAGAATAGCATCGACATGCCCCTTAAACCCACTGCACAGCACCCAAATCCAGGCATCTCCAGATCACTTAA